CCTCTGCCTCCTGGGTTCAAGTGATTCTCCTGCCTCAGCCTCCCGAGTAGCTGGGACTACAGGCACACGTGGCTAATTTTTGTATTTTTAGTAGAGATGGGGTTTCACCTCATTGGGCAGGCTGTTCTCGAACTCCTCACCTCAAGAAATCCACCTGATTTGGCCTAGGAGGCTCATTCTTCTCTTGATCTTTCTCCTTGTGTGCTGAACACAGTAGACCATTTCACTGGGGCCACCTGGTACCATAAGGTGACATATGGATGAAGACAGTGGCCTGACTGAAGATTTCTCGGGATCAGATGAGTGGGAATCTGCCTGCTTTCCCTGGACTGCTTTCTTCAGGTCATCTTTCATGTAAGATAAAAGTAGATTTCTTTTCTTTTTTCTTTCTTTTCTTTTCTTTTCTTTTCCTTTGAGGCAGAATCTCGCTCTGTCACCCAGGCTGGAGTGCAGTGGCATGATCTCAGCTCACTGCAACCCCCACCTCCTGGGTTCAAATTATTCTCCTGCCTCAGCCTCCTGAGTAGCTGGGATTACAGGTGTGCACCGCCACACCCAGCAAGTTTTTTGTATTTTTGGAAGAGACGAGGTTTCACCATGTTGGCCAGGCTGGTCTCAAACTCCTGGCCTCAAGTGATCTGCGCTCCTTGGCCTCCCAATGTGCTGGGATTATAGGAGTGAGCCACCACACCCAGCTTGAGAGAGAAGTAGATTTTTTTTTTTCTGTGTAAACTGAAGTCATTTTGGATTTTCTATTATAGGTAGCCAAATCTAACCTTCACTAATACATACTTGTGATTTGAAAGCATTTGTGTGCTTTTAAAAGACACTATATATGCCTTCTCATTCTACTTCTTCAATAATCCTACAAAGTTCAAGGAATGAGAATTCTCATTCTCATTTTCCAGTCAAAGAAATTGACCTTGTAAGAAGTTGAGTGACTTGCATGTGGTCAACTTAGCAAGTAGAGAAACTGGAATGAATAGAAGTGTATTATCTCTTTACAACAAATCACACATATGCTTACATGTAGACACACAGACATGGTGCACAGGCTTTGGAGTCAGACAGACCTGACTTCACATTTCGTGTCTCATTCTTGTAGCTTTAAGCAAATTACCTACTTTTGCTGATTTTCATTTTCTAATCTGCAAGGTGGTAAATAACATCTCTAGTGTTTGAGAATTCCAAATGAGATAATGTTGGTGGTTCTGATCCAGGAGGTGGTATATAGTAGCTGCTTAGTAAATAGAGCTCTATTGTCAGCAGAGGCTTATCCTTGTATAGATTGTTTATACTGTGACACAAAGAGCGTTAAAAAAAAGGAAGAAAAAAGAAAAAACGTTATTCAAATATGGAAATAAAATGGAATGTAAACGAGAGCCTAGAATCAGCTTGAATGACGTTCTGCTTCCACAAGGAATTTGAAATATTTTGATATCTTTCTGATTTAAAAGACTAGATTAGTCTGGGCATGGTAGTTTACGCCTTTAATCCCAACACTTTATGAGGCCAAGAGAGGCAGGTGGATCGCTTGAGTCCAGGAGTTTGAGACCAGCCTGGGCAACATGGCAAAACCCCACCTCTACCCAAAAATGAAACCAAAAATTAGCCAGGTGTGGGGATGTATACCTGTAGTCCCAGCTATGTGAGAGGCTGTGGTGTGAGGATCCCTTGAACTCAGGAGACCAAGGCAGAAGTGAGCTGTGATCACTCCACTGCACTCCAGCCTGGGTGGCAGAGTGATGCTCTGTGTCTGAAACAAAGCAAAAAGAAGAAGAAGAAGAGGAAAAACCCCACCAAATTAGTGGGCTTGGGTGACCATGCTTTTTGAACCCCTGGAATATCTTAAAGGTAATTTCTTTCTACCTGTATTTGGCATTAAATGTCACAGAAAAATGTGATTTGCCTTCAAGCTCCTCATGAAGCCCATGAAGACAAAAAAGTAGCCATTCCAAAGAAATTTTATTTTATTTTATTCTATTTATTTATTTGTTTTTGAGATGGAGTCTCGCCCTGTTGCCCAGGCTGGAGTGCCATGGCGTGATCTCGGCTAATTGCAAGCTCTGCCTCCCCAGTTCCAACAGTACTCCTGCCTCAGCCTCTCTGGTGGTGGGATTATAGGTGTATATCACCACATTCAGCTACTTTTTGTATTTTTAGTAGAGATGGGGTTTCGCCATGTTGGCCAGACTGATCTCGAACTCCTGACCTCAGGTGATCCACCCACCTCAGCCTTCGAAAGTGCTAGGATTACAGGCGTGAGCCATTGTGCCCAGCCAATTCCAAAGATATTTTAAATTTCCCTGGAGGAAATAAGAGTGAGAATTCCTAGAGTGGCACATTGAGTTTGTTCCTCAAATACTATTTGAATTTACCCTGCAAATATGTGGTGTCAGGTGGGCGTTGTGTAATGGAATTTGAAGGACATCTATGACCATCTATAGGGAGCTGAGATTTATAAATTTCTTGAGTAGGCATTTTAGACAGGCTCGATGAGGCATTGAGAGCTGATGTTTCCCCAAGTGGAATGAACACATCAGGTGTTACATGACTCAGATTCTGTTTTAAGTTAGACTCAATCCACACTACAGACTTGGATGGTCAGAATAATAATGTGAATCAGCATGTGTTGTAAGATGCATGACATTTCTGCATCTGTCAGCAATGACAAATGTTCTTTCTCTTTCTCAGATTCAACTAGATAAGTGGATGTTTGCTTCATTCTTATTTTGAACAGTTGACTATATCAAGAAACCACACCACTTATTTATGCCCATATTAGGCAGTACAGTATCTGATGGAAAGGACTCTGGTAATTCAATTTAATATGTAACACGCTTCACACCGTGACACAGCAGGAGAACCCAGAGTGGCAGCTGTTGGAATGAATGCCCTCTTCCTGCTTAAGTCTGACATTTCCAAGGTAGGATTTGATTACATCTAGCAATATGGAATTATGGGCAAGGAGAGTTGCTGAGACCACGAGACATTAGGAGGCTAAGATAGCAAAGTGGTGAGGCAATCTGCCTTTTAGTCCCCTTTGAAGCTATGGGAAGTAGCCAAATGATCTGGCTGAGCAATGCCTCTATGACTTCAGGGTATAAAAACCACTTTCATGAGCCTCAAGTCAGGGTAAGTGGGCAAAGTAACAATAAAGGTAAATAAAAATCAACCACATTTAGACCCAGTCAACTTAGGATATTTTATAGTACAAGTGTCAATCCGTATGGTTCCTCTGAGATGCCCACATCTCAGGAAGCCTCAAATTTAACTACCAGAAATGTTCTGAGAAAATAAAATAAGAAATTCTAAGCTTACAAACGCTTTTGTATGTGCTATTTTAGGTAGTTTTCAGAATGAGTCACTTATCTCCTCCCACAACTCAACTTCAATCATGTTTCAGCACATTCTAATTAGTTTCTCATAATCATTTAAATTAGTGTTTATTTCTGCATGTATTTCTTCCTCCATTAAAAAAAATTATTATTAAATTTATTGGTAACTCTCTTAGAAACTCTAAGTTTCAAGAGTTTCCCTTACTGTTATTATTATTATTATTATTGAGACAGGGCCTTGTTCTGTCACCCATGCTGGAGTGCAGTGGTGCAATCTTGGCTCACTGCAACCTCCACATCCCTAGTTCAAGTGACTCTCATGCCTCAGCCTCCCAAGTAGCTGAGATTACAGGCATGCACCAACACACTCAGCTAATTTTTCTATTTTTAGCAGAGACACGGTTTCAAATTCCTGGCCTCAAGTGATCTGCCCACTCAGCCTTCCAAAGTGCTGGGATTATAGGTGTGAGCCACTGTGCCCAGCCAGGAATTTCCTATAGGATGCAGTAATACTCAGAAAAGGATAAGCAATAATAATAATATATGTGTATAATAATATATGCATGCATATGTATAATATAACTTCGAAGACTTTCACATATATTATCTTATTTAATCCTGAACACACAATAACATCCCTCCTCTTCTTCTTCCTGAGCACAGTGTTAAAGCTTCCCTATGCAATGTCTCTAAAGATGAGAGAGTCAGAAAAGAAGGGCATTAATGAATATACTTGGATGTATTAGGGGACCATGAGAGGTAGCTGAACCAACACTACACTAGGCATGAGCAGTCCCAGAAAGAGTGGCTTCTCTGCTGTTTATTTCTATCTGGCATTGGGTAAGTTAGAACCTCTTCAGACCTCTGTTTGCTCGTTTGCAAAATTAACACACACCTGCCCTGACTCCTTGCCAGAGTTACTATGAGAATCAAATTAGGTAACATGTGAGAAAATATTTTATAGCTTGCCAAATGCCAAATAAATATTTTTATGAACTTTCTTTCTGTACTTCACTTTTGCCAACATTTGTGGCATCAACCTAAACAGAAACCTCAGCTAATTAAAGAATAGAAAACATAAACATTTTTAGAACCATAAAGAATGTTCTAAGAGTTTCTTGGCCATTTTACTTTTCTTATAATCAAAACATCAAGCCGTTCACCTGGCAGCTGGGTGCTTGAATTGTAATCTAGTATCAGTTGCACTCAAGAGGAAACCAAGATCCTGTAGGATCTTTTACACATCGGGGCTTTTATTTTTTATTTTTTATTATTCTCAAAGTGAAGTCTGCAGACCACCTGCATCCAAATCCCATGGCATAATTATAAACATTTCTGATTGCTGCACCCTACTTTTACCTACTGAATCAGAAGCTCCCAAAATATGGGCCCAGGAATAAACCTTTTTTTAGAAAACACACTAGCTGGTACTTATGCTCACTAGTCCAAGAAACCCAGAACTTACTGGCTGAAATTTGCAAGTTGTAAGAGAACATTTGTTCTTCATTTCTTTCCAGCAGTAACAAGATTTCTCTATCAACATTCTATTAAAAACAGATAGAAGCACGTATGTGAAATAAAAGCAGCACTCCACTTGTGTGCAAAATTCGACATCATTTTTTGGAAAGTGCTTTGAAGTAGTGCAGCTTTCTTTAATTGGATGATGCATTTATAGGAGGACTTTGGAAAATATATTCTCTTCCAGCGTTATTCCTGACCTCTACTCAAAGACTAACAATCTCACAAGCAGTTACATTGACAACCAAGGAGCCATTCTCCAAGGAGGAGGAGGCGGCCTCAACTCACTTCAAGTAATAACATTAAAATTCTCAAAGTGTTAGCAGTCTGCACTGGACCTTGAAATAAAAAGGTAGAGATTTTGCCTTTGGTGTTCAATGAATATAGAACAATATAATGTCATTTCAGAAGCCATAAGCTTATTATCAATCAGCTTCGTAGAAACACAGGACCAAAAGGGATTACTCATTACTAAGTCAACAGACAACTGTGTGCCTGGCGCTGATCTAGGGTTAGGGCCAGAGGAGTAAATAAAGCAAACAAAGCTTCCCTGGCACTTACATTCTGGTTCGAGAGGAAGAGTGTGCAGAAAATAAAGAGCGGGCTAATATTTAATATTTGTAACATATCAAGTGGCATGTTAGAAGATGACAAGAATAATGGAAAATGGTTTACTGCAACAGAGTTTTCAGACGGGGTTAGATTACAATTCTAAATATGAATAATACAGCAAAAAGAAAAAAAAAGGATTTTTTTTTTTTTTGGCTGGTATACATGGGTATTAGTTTGTACTCTTGAAAGCTAATGAAATATCCGTAGACCCTACTGTACTGAATTTTAAACTCTGGACACTGCAAAACAAGAGCACTGTCCACGTCATCACATATATTTGCAGTCACCTTTACATTAGAGGCACCATCTATAGTGACGACTGATCTCTTTTTTCCCTGAGGTATGCTCCTGTCTTCTAATCATTCCTGATACCTTCTTTCACAATCGTGCCCTAGGTAATGGTGCTCAGAAAAAGAAGCCAATCAGGAGATTTGTTTTCTGTGCCCTTTTAACACTTCTAACTCAGGCACCCAAACCAGCTTGAACCAGAAAAAGCGTCAAAGCCGTACTCTGGACTCTACCCAGGGCCTATGGATATTCAGTTAGCTTTCAAGAGTACAAACTAATACCCATGAGTACCTGCCAAAAACATCCTTTTTTTTTTTTTTTCTTTTTGCTGTGTTATTCATATTTAGAATTGTAATATGACCCTGTCAGAAAATTGTGTTGCAGGAAATTTTTGGAAAAGAACATGTAGCTTATCTGTGCTTATGAAGTCTTTGTTATTTTGGGAAAAAGAAAAGAAAACAAAAACATCAACAGCTATGTATTTTATTACTTACTATCATTCCAGAGTAAAGTGGGGAGTCCTGTTTTTTCAGAAACGTAGCAGCATCAGAGATGTGGCTATTGTGATCAGAATTACTTGGCTAGGTGAGTTTTGGGTTTGATTTACTTTTTCATATTTGTCTTTCTGCATGTATAACATATTTTCCTACGGAGAAAGATATGCTGAAGTTAAACTTCACATGAGTTGACTACCTAAAATTACAGCTGTTAGCAATTTTTAATAAAACACTATCCACCGCACTATAAAAACGGATTCCATTTTCATAATGTTTGTGTCATTCCACTGAACAGTGCAGTTAGAAATCCCAGAAGCAAATGCAGCACAAATTGGAGAGCAGCTGTGTAGAGGTGACTTCTAATCATAATTGAGCACAAACAGGAATAAATAAATCAAGGACGAAACTTCTCAACTTCTGATGCCTGGCGATGTCAGTTTTAAAGCCAGATAAATATCAAGCGAATTGCAAAAGAAATTACACAGCAGATAGAAGAGTGACAGTCAAACACCCACCCTTTCTGGGAACACTCCTATGTACCAGAAACACAAGAACTTTATTTTGAAACCTGGATGACATATTTGAAACTGCTGGTGTTCCTGACTTTAGCTTGGCAGAAATGCCAGCTGAGTGTGCACATAGCACAGGTGGACGAATGGCAAACAAGACACCTCACAGCTGTAGGCAAGGAGGTGCTTCTAAGGGCATACAGTCTGGGCAGTGCCAAGGAAGACAGGTATGATACGAAGAGGGAGGACGGGCTGGAATTTGGGGGTTTTGTCATCAGTGTGTGTGTATTAAAATATATTGGTGCATTTTTGAAAGTTAATTGTTGTTGGATTTTCAGCTGAGGCCTCATTCTTAGGAAATAACGTGATGGCAATAAATGTCAGCCTTAGCTAGTGACCCTTAAAAAGCTAAACCAGGATAAAAATAATAACTTGGCAAAGGTTCCTATTTGGTGCACTCCTTTTGTGCTCTGCCTTTGTCCTGAGTCTGCTTTGCCAAACACTCTGCCTTCAAGCACTGTTTTTAGGGAGAAGAGGCCATTCTTTCTGAAGAGGGAACAGCTGAGAAAAGGACCAGCCCACAGAGGGAACGAGGACACTCCTAGCTGCTTTAAAGCCATACCACAGGGCCTGTGAGTTTGTAACAAGACAATGTTTTCTTGTTGCTCCCTTACCTAAGCCCCCCGCAAAAAATCACCGTTTTTATCAGCCCTTTAGTCCTTAAGAGTGCCTTTAGTGATGAGACAGTGTTTCTGGAAGTTTCGTATAAGTGCTTTTCTTTTCCCACATGCAGAAGACTCAAGAGGTTGCAGAATCAGAACAGCTTGTGTGCTTTTCCATATTATAGCTTATGTGTATGACTATACTGATCTTCCATTAAACAGGGCGTCTTACCCACCCTGCAGTGCTAAGCATGTGTCAGATTGGAAACTAAGTACCATTTAAAAGAAAATGTCTTTCAGTATTTAAAAAAACAAAACAAAACTAAGAAATAGAAAATTATCTCACATCGAGCCAAGCCCTTTCTCAGATACCCTTTTGCTTCTCAGTTTTAGGAGTTATTCAAGTCTCTAGCCTCACTCTTCATTGCCCTGACTTGTGCCTGAGATGTTTTTAGTCCTTCAGCCAGTTCAAATCAGGAATGAGGTGCATTTGAGCTCGACTTCTCTGCCAAGCAGATAATCCCCTAATGACTGGTCAGCATTTTCATCCCAGAGAGTCAAACTGACCTTTCGGTAGCAGAGGTTGCTTTAGGTTTGTGCAAAATAACTTTAAAGACAAGTAAATTCCCACTTTGGGGGCGTCACCGTCATCCCTTTGATTGCCTGCATTTCCTAGCATTTCTTTCTCCAGTGTGGACATTGCAAAACTTTGATTTTTCAAAGTGGTTATTTAGTTCCTAAAACATTTAGAGTTGGGGCAAAATTTGCATAATTCTATAAAAAAGCTTATACCTCAGCTTTGAAAAATATTTGAGAAAATGTGATTTGTGGGGGAAGGAAGTCTTATCTTTTGGCCCAGAAGGTGTTTCACGGAAGTAAACTTGTTAATGTTAGGATTGCCTGTTAAGCACCAAAAAGTAAAAAATCAAGATTAGAAGGGTTTCTTTTATCTCCGCTTCAAGTCTGCAGGGGTTTGAAGCTTAAGATAGAGAAGGACTTTAGGGTTTTTTTTTTTTTTTTTTTTTTTTTCACTGTATTGCAAACTTGGAACCTGGAGTCATGGCACAGTGATGGGAAACACAGGTGCATTTCTGTAGGTTTTTAAAATAAGATGCACTGGCTCTTTTCAAGTGAGGACAGTTCATTTTGATGTTGTTACAGAACTTGAGACGATCTGCTGTAGATCAGATGTGAGATTCTGTCATCATGCCTATTTTTGTTGTATGATGCTGCTGTCACTCATAGGTTGACAACCAGTCTGACATACATTCCCTTTCTTTCTTTCTTTCCTTCCTTCCTTCCTTCCTTTCCTTCCTTCCTTTCCTTTCCTTTCCTTTCCTTTCCTTTCCTTTCTTCTTTCTTTTTCTTTCTTTCATCTTTCTCTCTTTCTCTCTTTCTCTTTCCTTCTTTCTTTTTTTCCTCCCTCCCTCCCTCCCTCCTTTCCTTCCTTCCTTCTTTTTCTCTCCTTTCTTTCTTTCACGGGGTCTCACTCTGTCACCCAAGTTGGAATAAAGTGATGTGATCATGGCTCACTGCAGCCTCGAACTCCTGGGCTCAAGCAATCCTCCTGCCTCAGCCTTCTGAGTAGTTGGGACTGTAGGTGCATGCCACCACACCCTGCTAATTTAAAAAATTTTTCAGAGACAGGGCCTCCCTATGTTACCCAGGTTGGTCTCAAACTCCAGTCTCAAGTGAGGTTCCCACCTTGGCCCCTCACAAAGTGCTGGGATTACAAGTGGAAACTGCTGAGGCTGGCCTTGGCATACATTTTCTATGCTCAATACATTTTCTATACTCTCAATACATTTTCTATACTCAAGTGTGTGAGGAACCAAACACCTTCAACAATGTAAATGTTACAAAACTGATGGCCATTCAAATGCCTCCTGAAGGAAGCATAGGTCTCCCTTAAACCACGTGTTGCTCCAAGATCTGAGGACTGTGTGTCCAGATGATGGCATGCTGTCAGGAAATTGTGTGAAGACCACTACTTCTACCCTGCTAGAGTGCACAGAGCCACCGTTCTAGAGCTGCCCAGAGCCTAAAGCCCATCCACCTCTATCAGGACCTTTGTCTCATCCAGGACCTGCCCTGATGTGTGTCTTCATTTTCATTCCCTATTCACCGGAATGGTTGCCAAGACCAGAATAAGACTTTCAGAGTCTCTGAGCTCTTCCATACATAAATACAAATACCATTGAATTTTTAAACTAACATGAAGTTCATAAGTATGCTGATAGCAGAATGGCTTTTCTTTCTAGATGATTTATTGATTGTAAAAGTCTGAATGAATTTACTAAAGTGAAGATTTTCTGACGTATGCTTATTTATTTATCTGTGCCTCCAGGATAATCTAGCAGTGACTGTAGACAGCATCTAGTGGCCATTTTCCCCCGACAAACTTTTCTGCCCACTGGCATAGCAAGATGTGATTTTACTGGGTCCTTGCTGTATTTCATAATTAATTTAAAGCCTTCTCCACATGGTCATGTAATTCTTCTTATCCAACTGGTTTTATGTTGCAGTTTCTTTTACTGACAAATAACCTTCCTTACCATGTTTTTCACCCATCTTTTCACCTGATTCAAATACATTAAGTCAACCTTTGTTCAGAGAAATAAGATCTAGGAAAACCTTTCAAAAAGTTTTTAAAAACATTTTTAAAAAGTAACTATGTATATCTAGGAATTGCTCTGGGAAAATATATATGCCTGATTCTCCATGCATAAATGTACATCTAGTGCAGTGATATACATGTGTATTACAAGTGAAATTTATATGTTGAAGATTATTTGGACAGAAGTGGACTTGATTAACTAGAGTTGCCTTTTTTGGATTTATGCCTTAGGATTGTGTTCTTATTATGTAATACACAGGCAAAGTTATGTTACTGTACCTCGATGCAGGGCAAAAATTTATGATGTTCTGCCAAAATTGCCACCTGAGGACACAGAGAACAAAGAAACAAAAAGTCCTAATCAGATTAGAGCTTAATGAACCAGCCTCAAGCCTGTCAGGAACTCACCAAATACCAAGTCATTCCAATGAATAAACAGTGGAACAAAAACTTGGAGAACAAAACGTTTTTTAATTATTTGCATTCTTTTGGCAGCTGTAATTACAGGATATTTTCCATTGTCTGTTACCGCTTGCCTCTGTGCTGTTGTGTTTTTAAGATGTGGTTTGTTCTCTCTTTCCATATAATTATGATGATCACTAAAATGAGCAAAATTTTCTTCTGAAATATATACAGGATGATAGATAGATGTTTTCACTTAACTAGGACTTGTAGATGAGTGGCAGTTTCAGGTTAGTTTTTGTGTAATTTAGTACAGCCATTCATTTAAAGTATACCAAACACACAAGATATCATAGTATACATTATATAGTTAGAATTAAAAAATCAGTAATTTTTATAGTTAACATAGTGATATATTTGCCCTTTCTTCCAAGATATGAATTTTTAAGATAACATTTCTTTCCTGATGACTACAAAACAATACATGCTTATTTTAGGAGAGTGGGAAAAGCCTGCAATCTAGAGATAGCCACCATTAATTAGGTACATGAACCCTACTTCTAGCCTTTTTTTCTATACATTTTATTTAAAAAATTGCATATTATAATTGTTTTTAAATTTTAAAAACATATGCATACATTGTAAACAAGTTTTCTTCTCAGTTACTATTCTTCTGTATCATTTATTTATCTATCTATCTATCTATCTATCTATCTATCTATCTATCTATCTATTTTGGAGACAGGATCACACTCTGTTGCCCAGGCTGGAGTGAAATGGCGAGATCATGGCTTACTACAGCCCCGACCTCCCAGGCTCAAAAGATCCTGCCACCTCAGCCACCTCAGTAGCTAAGACTAAAAGCATGCATCACCATGCCCAGCTAACATTTTTTATTTTTTGTAAAATTGGAGTTTCCCTATGTTGCCAGGGCTGGTCTTGAATTCTTGGGCTTAAGAAATCCTCAACTGGGCATGGTGGCTCATGCCTGTAATCCCAGCATTTTGGGAGGCTCAGGCAGGAGGATCACTTAAGATCAGGAGTTCAAGACCAGCCTGGCTAACATGGTGAAACTCTGTCTCTCCTAAAAATAAAAAATTAGCCAGATATGGTGGCACATGCCTGTAATCCCAGCTATTTGAAAGGCTGAGGCAGAAGAATCACTTGAACCGGGGAGGCAGAGGTTGCAATGAGCTGAGATCATGCCATTGGACTCCAAACTGGGCAGATCACCTAAGGCCAGGAGTTCGAGACCAGCCTGGCCAACATGGCAAAACCCCATCTCTACTAAAAATAAAAAAAATTAGCTAGGTGTGGTGGTGCATACCTGTAATCCCAGCTACTTGGGAGGCTGAGACAGGAGAATCACTTGAACCCAGGAGGCGGAGGCTGCAGTGAGCCGAGATTGTGCCATTGCATTCCAGCCTAGGCAACAGAGTTTGACTCTGTCTCAAACAAACAACAAAAAAGAATTCCTCCCATTTCAGCTTTCCCAAGTGTTGGGATTATAGGCATGAGCCACTGCTTCCAGCATGCTTCATGTCTTTAAATGGCTGCATAGTATTTTGACATGTATATACTAAAATTCAGAAATGATTTTTAGACCAGATGAAGCTCTAGTGGTATATCTAGCTTAAGATCATAGCTTCTGGTGGCAGGTGGATTCGGGCTGCAGTTTCTTAATTACCCAGAACGCTTACTTTTATTGATTTGAATACCTTCAGATGGCCAAGCCCTTTTCCATTTGCTCTGTTCTTAAGTGCAAAGCCTTACATTACCTATGGTTTTAGCTTTACCTATTCCATGCATTTTGTCTTCACATCGGCATCTGCCACCTTTGGTATCTGATAAGAGATAAGGGAAATGGTAGAGGATTTAAATATGACTGAAAATGTCTTTCCTGGAAGGCCAATCACAGTTTAAGTGGGAGCTACTTTTTCTTTCACTGATGAGCTGTTTTGTCCCTTGTAACTAGCATTGTTTTCTCTTTGTGATGTCCAATGGGTGTATATGTGCTATTTGGAAAGAAAATAGAACAAGAAATTAGGAAAGTGGGTCGTGTTGAGTCGGCTTAGTTACCTTGGCAGCACTTTACCCAGAAATCAGTGTTTTGTTTGGTCCTGGACAGGGTAGGCCATGCTGCAGTAACAAATCAACTCTGAAATCTCTGTGGTTCAGCAAAAAAAGTTTATTTATTGCTCACCCAGGGACAGACGGCAGCTGGCAGGGATTCGCCTTCATTCCGCAATTCAGCAATGCAGGCTCCTCCACTTGTTGTAGTGCCGTATCAATATGTGGCTTCCCAGGTCGCTGCTAGAGGGGAAGAGAAGGATGGGGAGTCGCACCAGCTCTTAACTGCCTCAACCCAGAGATGACACATGTCTCTTCTGCTCCCAATCCCTGGGCCAGAACTAGTAAAGTGGGGTGCTGAAAAATGTCGGGAGTGCATGGATATTTGGAGAGTGCTGTCTCTGCCACCTTATTTCATATCAAACCACAGAAACAAAATTGGTAACTCTTCTTAGTAAACTGGAACAGAGTATCAAAAGGATTATGAGGACCAGAGCATCTGGAATGACCAATAAGTCCATTAAGCCAGGAAAATTAGAACAGTCTGAGGAATCATAATGGTCAGAATGGAAAGAAACTGACTAAAGGGCTTACTGGATGAAATTAACCAGGTAGAATGAGACTGGAGAGAAGAGGCGGCCCAGGAAGTCATAACCTCATGTTCCTGACTTGGACTTTCTGTAAGTGTGATTCTCAACCTGGTTACTCAACAGAATCATACAAGGAACTTTAGAAAAGTAGTGTTTGGGCCTCACTTGAGGCCGATTGAATCAAAATCTCCTGAAGAATATAATATAATATTCATATATTATATTTTAAAAGCCCTTCCTCCTTATTCTGATGCAGCCACTGGTCTGTAGGCCAGAGTTTGAAAAGCATCAGAGGACAAGGAGGTAGAAGGTGTCCTTAGGATGAGATACTAATGAGAGACTGAACCTT